TGCCACTTTCCATTCCTGCCGGCTGTTTATCCTCCACCATCCTCCTTGTTTTTCCAATTTGTTGATGGCGCTTTGTATTACTGCAGAACATATAATGTTTCATACACTCTGCCATTGAAAAGTTACGAATCTCCTGCCACCAAAGCTTGTTTGCGTACAGTCAGATGACTGAGAGCACGATCTATGAACCCATAAGCAATCAGTCTGACAACAGATAAGCCTCTGGGGGCAAGGGACTATATTTCTAGACTTCCTCTTCCTGCTGCTCTTTGTGCACAGTTCCGTTATCTACTTGAGATGCCAGACTGGAGTTGGAGTTGATAGACTACTGGATTGTTTCACAGCCGGTGTACAAGCTCATTTTAAACTGTTAAAAGGCTAGATACCAAGACGATAGCCGATGGGTTCCGAGATTGCATTTGTCAATGTCAAAGAAACTGGAACTTCGATTCAAACAGGAACAGTTTCCTGTTTCAGTGTCAAGTGTTTCACAATAAAGCACCCTAGAAGGAGCTGGAATTAACAGGCAACGTGTTGCTTTAGCAAAGCTCTTCTTCAGACTTCACAATAGAAGGTTAGTCGAGGGTTAGAACTGTTGGAATATCAGCTGAACTAATCACAGTTAAAACCTCTTCAATGAAAGAGACTCACTCAACAGTTCAATAATGAAACTAATTCAACAAGTTCAACAGTATCCTCCCTCACATGTAACACTGTAGGGACAAACACCCAATGGACGTTTGAATCATTTAATTCTCCTTCTTCCTCCTTTGAGGCCAAAACTATTTCAAAATATAAATAATACATTTGGTGTCTGAGTTATTGTGTTTTAGTTATTATTTAAGGAAAGAAGAAGAACGTCATTGTAACAGCTGATTGTAAACGTTTAAAACAGCAGTGTGTGACGGATCAGATACATACGATTCTGTAGTAAACCAGTCACCTTGTATGTGATTCAGACAGTCAATAATGAGGTAAACAAGGTTTCTGAATAAGCATAATGCAATATTCAAACCCTCAAAAGTTTATGTGACAAGCCTTGCTGATAACTACATTTGTTGACATTTTACTTCCTCTGAGTTCATTTTCTTCTTCCATTATCTTGAGAAAGGCAACCGAAGCCCTGTTCTCCTTCCACCCGCCTCACACAATAGAGCCAGGAAAGCCTGATAACATTGTCACGTCTAATGTTTGGAGCCACACAGCTGAGTGGCAGCGGGGCAGGAGGCCATATCTGCCAACAGAGGAGCGATTAAACAGACCAAGTATGAAGCCTTTCCTGTCAATCCCATTGGCTTGGAGTTTTGCTCTGTTCTTCTTCCAGAGGAAAGCTGATTAGCCATTTCATTGGGTGTAATTGAGGTCCTCTCACTTGTAGCAGAATATAGAAAAACATTGTGAACCAAAGCTTTCTATAAATGGATTTCCTATACAGACACAACAGCGTCACAGGATTTCATGGAATAATCTCAACTCTGACGATGTATTTCAGACATAAATGGTGCAAGAATTTGTTTCTCCACTATGTTGCCAAAGTTACCTCATGGATTTAGTTTTGCAATGGACTGTCTTCTGCCAATGCGTTCTGCCTCTATAGCTCTCCACACAGACTGTTTACCTGCATTCAACCACAGCCTGCTCTAACCTGATTGGTCAACGCTAGTCAGACCTCAAATGGAAACCAGAACGCTTCCGATGGCAAAGTCTTGTCCCGTTGCCTACATCTGTTTATAGAGATGATGGTTACTACAACCCAGCCTGTTGTATAATAGGTAGCGTGGAGTAAAGAATGGGAGTTTACCAGATCTGTTATGTAAGTAAAAGTCCAAGGTAGAACAGACTTAAATCTATACAGAGGCACTTTATTTTTCATCTTTTCGTCTAAAGGACCTGTAACGGGTTGTATATGGACCCAAATGCAACACACCAGATTCCAGGGATCTTTGGCTTTATTGCAAACCTCCAGATACAGCAGGCCGAGTTTAATCAGAGTCAGGATCAGAAGGCCGGTGGGTTTACCGGGAGTCAGGCAAGGTGGGTAGAACAGGGGCAGGCAGGGTCGGTAACAGGAGATTAATCCGTGGGAGCATGCTGGAGAGTCTGGCATGGAAAACCGAAGAACAATCTGGCAAATGTGTCTGGGAGGCAGGAGTCTATATAGGGGCTTGATTACTGATCAGAGGCATGTGAGTGAACAGGTGAAGGGAGTTTAGACTGATGAGGAGGGAGTGACTGACAAGAAGAGTGAGGAGGGTGTGGAGCTGAACTGTGACAGGACCTTCATCAGAGCATACTAATATAAAAATCACAATACAATTAAAATACTTAGTTATGAGTTAAAGTATTAGCATTAAAATATACTTAAAGTAGTCATTATAAAGAATGGTTCATTTGAGATTAATATGTAAATTATATTATTGGATTGTTGCAGCTGGAAAATGTGGAGCTCATTTGAATGACTTTATATACTGCTGGTAGTTAAATAATACATCAGAATTCATTGGTATTTTGGAGTAAAAGTATATTAAACACATTAGCATATAAGCATATAACATATATATGTTAAATGCACGTTGGTTTATTGCCACGGTAACGATGCTGTGCTTTTTGTTATTGGAGGATCAGAGCTGTTTGCATTCCTCGTCTACTTTACATGCTGATTGAGTTACATATTTATTTGTGCTCCACTTGTCACACATGCAACAAACTCAGCGAATGTAAAAGAACATCTGGTTTGGTACGCTGCCACTGTCTGACATACCCGCGTTAATCTGGACACATTCCCCAAATCACTGTAATCATGCCAATTATTTAATTCGACCAACAATTGAATTAACACCACAAAATCTAACCTTATTCTCTTCATATTCTATAAATCAGTGGAAAACATGTTTTGTTATGGAATGGTCAATTCCTGTTGGACAGATGTTTGGAGTGGTTTCATGTGCTTTGGTCATGTGCTGAAGCCGTGATGTGAACATCAGTCAGGCTGCCGTCCGTCCCCATCCGAGATGAGAAGCCAGGGTTGGTCTAAAAGCTGACAACCAGTAGGATCTCTGCGTTCTCGGATCAGAGGAGTGAAACTCCGCCTCCGCCATCTCTGTAAATCGAAGCTAATTATTGCGGGATTTCTGCTGGCCTCCGTTTGTTTATTTATGTCCAGGGACGGCACGCTGAGCGACAGTTTCCTGATTACACCAGAGGAAGTAACGGCAGCTTGGTGTCTCTTATCAGCCTGAGAGACGAGTACCTCTGTCTGACAGGAGTAGCTTAGGGCAGGGCGGCGGAAGAGGGGGCTAGCTGAAGGGGAGAATAAGCTGGGTGACATATGAGCAAGGAGGTGTTGAGGGAACAGGGTTTGGATTGGTTCCAACAAGAAAATGCAGATGACAGATATGTTATAAAATGCCTAAAAGCTTTGTAACGACATCTACACGGTTGGCTTTAATGGTATGCTGAGTTCTACTTTGTGTCATGAAGCTCGTAAAGCCAAACATGGAGGAAGGAAGTGTCACATCATCAGATCCTGTTTCACATTTCTTCTATTGGTAGAGAAAAAAGTCATAAAATCATGTTGGAGAAATAAATAAAAGAAAGTGGGTAAATTCACAAGCTATGGAAACAATACTAATCACAGAGAAATTGAATCGAAGAAAACAGTCAAGGTGCATTGTGGGAAATGAAGGTGCCAGGAAGAAGAATGTGTTTCTTTTTTTTGTTGAACTGTCCATCATGAGTCAGACAGTGTCATCAGAGTGCAACGCTGTCTCAGTCGAGTACTCTTTTAATTAAGCCACTGAATGAAATTAGCAATCTCCCCTCATATTTTATGATTATTCATTTGTTGGTATGGAGGCTAATAGATCTCACTACACCTCTGCTAAACTGTGACGAGGTGGATGATATCAGTAGTCACATGTCATCCCCTTCTAATCTTTAATTAGCTCACACTCCACCAAACACACTGTACTACCATGAAACTAGATAGTGTCTCCATGATGCCTCAATTTCCTCATGAAGCACTCCCAACGCTTGGTCAATGCGTAAATTAGTATGTTTGTTACGTAGCTTATGTACGGGGCGTGAGTTAAGTACGTGTTGAAAAGTATGGAAAAATAAGTCAATGTTGACATGGTTTTACATGAAAGAAGAATAGCGGCCCCCTGTGTGTTTAGGGAGGTCATAGTGGATGGATGCATCAAACTAAAACTGAAAGATGTAACAAACATTCTCAAACTGACCAAAACCACCATTTATTTTGAAAAGACACTGTATGTAACGAGCGTGAACACGGAAGTTTATTTTGAAAAAGACGCCATACATGTAATGAGAGGAAACGGACACGTTATCCCTGACACTAGAGGGTTCCACACTGACCAAGCATGAGTTTAGAGTGAGAATGTGTTGTCCAAAGACAAAGAATCCTATGTGGACACACTTTTATGTGTCCACATAGGATTACACACTTATGTGATACCAACAACCTTTCCCACCTTCAAAGCGTGCACATCAGCATCTTCATGTTTCCTGAACTTAGTGAAATCAAATAAAAAGCTTTCCTTTTTAAATGTTCAGTGTGTTATAAGGAATGAATATAAAGCTGTTAGAATATGAGGGTTAGTCAAATGTATCAGTCTCAAAAGGCTGCTCAGGCTTCTCTGGCTGCTGTCTGCTGAATGTTAATGCTTCCAACAAGAACTCTGTTTCACCTGCCAGTCAGTGTTTGTCTTCTCTGCCAAGCTGGTTAGCATTGAGCACATATCTGTTAGTGCATCTGTCTGTCTGTGCTGTGTGTTTTATTTAGTTCTGATCGATGTATAATTACGTTCTTGGACTTTTCTATATATGTACTGTGTTTTTAGGCTCCGTTATTGAATTTAACAAATATTTATATTCATGTTTGTGTTAATGGGGTGAGATTCATTGTCCCAGTGAATCCAGAGAGCAGAGCCTTCATCACTAAATCCACCTGTATTGTTTGCTTTGTGTGTTTCCTCCAGGCCGAGTGGGAGATCGGCTTCCTCGAACCCAACAGAGGCTGCTCACCGTAGAAGGGGGCGAAGTAAAAAGCATGAGTGAGTCAATTTATGCATTTCAAGTCTAACCAAGACGTCAATTTCAGATCTGAACCAAAAGCATTGACAAAAACCTTTTTTCAGCTCCAAGTAAAGATTCATCTTTTATTCTTGTGTTGAGTATATGAGACGCATGCATATGGGTATTAGGATATACAGAATCCTGAGCTTAAATACCTCTGGTGCATTGTATTACTGTCGGACTGTCCTTGAAAATGTTCTTTTTGGCCAGGATCAGAGCTTAATCCCAGGGTCAGGGTGTATCTACTCTGAGATTTCAGTCCATTTTGATGACAAATTCTAAGCTTGTCCTCTTGCTCTTAACAAAAAAGCTCCCTAAAGCCCCCTGAGAGACACCTCTGGATTTGAAATGTAGGTCTATTTCAGCCCTAAAACCACCTGACCCATGATAAGCCTCAACAGGGTTTTACAGAAAAGATGGATGTGTCAAGATTGTAAGGGACGTTAATATGCAGCAAGCAAAACAAGTTAACACAAAGCTTTACTTTCATCTGACACCAGTTATGTACCTGCTTTTGCTGATAAGTTGGCTATTTATTTACAAAGACAATACGATCAAGCATCAAGCTGACATGACATTCTATGTTCAAGAGTGAGCGAGTCTGGCTGTTTGTCAGGGTAGGCTGAAAGGAGTCTGTGTGCTTGAAGACCTGAACCAGATAGACTGAATTGTCTGTTGTGATTGGGCCTACTGATGCTTGTGACGGACTCTTTAAACTCTTCTTTATTTGTGTCCACACAGCAGTAATCCTGTCCCTGTTCTGTGTAAGCCAAAGTGAAACCAGTTGGGAGAACATGTGGATTATGCCTGACAGTGTAGGGAGAGTTGGTCGCAGGCTGATGATGGAAGTGCTCAAGGTTATTCAAGTTTGTTAAAATTATAAACAGCAAGTCAAAAAAGAAAAGAAGTCAGATGCCAGGTAACGCACTGACATCACATCTGGACATGTAGACCCCCAGACAGACCTTTCCATTGGATTCACTTCTCAATCTAATGAAGAGAAATTCTCTTTCTGCTTGTGACTATTTGTGCTTGCTGAGCCGCAGCGTTGGCTGTTTCAGTAGAGGAACAATAACAGTATGTTCCCTCTTCCCCAACAGACCTATAATCACCCCCCCCTCTTGTTGCTCAGGGCATTATCTGCCATTGTGTTTCTCATGTTTGAGTTCAGTTCCCCTCTCGCATGCTTGTTATTTACTTGTCGTCGACTGGCTGTGACTGAACGCCGAACACAACTCTGTACACTTTGATTAAGGAGGAAGTGAAGAACATTTTGTTTTTAGAATATATAAAGCTAAACTTATGATGACAGTGGTTAGGGATGGGGTTCTTTGTGTCTTACTGCAATTCAGAATCCTTTTCAATCCATTATCAAATGTGTTCAGGTAGTTTGTTTGGAGGGGAATGAAGACATCTTGGCTGAAAACAATGTTCTGTTTTTATTTCAGTCAGAGTACCTTCACTAATTCCACTGTGCTTAAAGGGTCTAAGGCATTCGCCACATATTCCGTCACTGGGCTGACTTTCATTAACCCTGTCCTCACTCATGTTTCCTGTCGCTGCGAGGGGAAGCGGTGTTTGCTCCTCACTGGGGGGCTACAGCTGCAGAAGTAATGACACTAAAGTAAAAACAACACAGTGGAAATATTAGTCTACTTTATCGTTTATGAGTTTTCCTAACCTGACCGGAAGTTGAAATGGTTGTTGCACTGCTACAGGTCACAAAATCAGACAGGTCACAGAATACGATGTAACACCGGCAGTAGGCTGAGGCCAAGTACTCGTCTTGTTCTTATTTTGACATGATGGACAAGTGATCAATGTTTAAACAGGGGCGTGTTGTTCCACCAAATATTGCGTTTCACAGTAGTTTGGTTGGAATGTTCAAATTCAGGCAATCTGACATGTTCGCTCAGTGTTTTTACACGTTACCATGTGTTTTTTTATATAGTGTCAGAAAGAGGTAAAAGAGACTGAAAGAGAGTCTGTACATGAAAGATTCAATAAGGGGTCGTTGGATCTTGGAACCAGATTCAAAATGGAAGTTGTTATTGAAACCCATCCCTATAGTTGGCACATAATTCTGTGAAATTACATATTGTAGGTTTTACTTACCTGCAGTGCCTGAACTGTGCATGATAATAAACACAAGGTTGTATTTTGTATTTATACCCAAATGTTTTGTAATGCACAACAGCTGCTGATTGTCTGTCTAAAAGGGACATATTTAATCAATCAAATGCTAAAAGTTAATATCCTTTTTCTTCAGGCTCAGTTGAAGTGCAGAATTATTTTGGGAAAAGTTGACACCCTTGTTTGCACCCCCACCTTTCCCCACTACCCCTCTAAGCCTGCAATTTATAGGATTGTTTTCTGTCCTGAGCACCGAAAGGAGTAACCTATCGAGCTTTTGCTGGAGGATGTTATAAATGGAAATTTACATTAAGTTCCATCAGCTTTGTTAACAGGGCCTGGTGATATGTGTTCCCAAAACACAGAGCATCGTCCTGAGGAAGACATTTAAAAATACATTTTTTTACTGTAATTTGCTAAATTTCAGTACTGCAACAAATAGCTTATATTAATGTTTTGCTTCTCATGGTAATTAAGGTTAGACTTATCAGTCGAGTATTACATGTAGACAGTTTTATTGCTCAAACCTAATTAAACCTACATTTTCCTCTTGAGCTGTAAACGGATTAGTCCTGATTGTGTATAACATCTTTGATGTCATAAATGAATGAATGTGTTTGAAATACACTTGTACCAATATAATGGACCTACTTGACACCACATAAGTATTGATTAAGGAACACACATCACTTGTTCAGTTGCAAAGAGAGGTAAAGGAATCTCTAAATTTTACATTTACAAGATCCTGCAACGAAGGCATTGTAAGTTACTCTTTCTGGGCACCGCAGGTTCATGCAGCACAGATGTTAAGGAAAATCGGAACTTGGACAACCTCTTCTCCAAAGAGGGGGTTGCAGCTGAGGCTGCTCAACTCCCCAATGGGAGTGCTGGGGGTGGGAGGAAGCGTCCCTTAGAGGAGGGCAATAATGGGCATGCACATTCCAAGTACAGGCCCAAGAAGCGTAAGAAAGTCCCTGGGCCCATTCTGCCTAAGAATGCCCTAATGCAGCTGAATGAGATCAAGCCAGGGCTGCAGTACAAACTGCTCTCTCAGACTGGGCCCGTCCATGCGCCCGTCTTTGTGATGACTGTGGAGGTCAATGGGCAGCTCTTCGAGGGTTCTGGTCCTACCAAGAAGAAGGCAAAGCTGAATGCAGCAGAAAAGGCCTTGCGCTCCTTCGTCCAGTTCCCAAATGCGTCCGAAGCCCACATGGCCATGGGCCGGACTCTGTCTGTTCACACGGACTTCACCTCGGACCAGGCTGACTTTCCAGACATGCTCTTTAATGCCTTTGAGACCTCCACTCCTGCAGATGACCCGTTTTACCTCGCATCCAACAGTAATGGTTCCTTCAGCTCATTGGGAATAGAGTACCCGTTGCTACCCTCCCCTGTCCCAAACCTGGTCCAGGCCCCCTTACCACCAGTCCCCTCCCCCTTCATCTCCCCTACAAGCGGCAAGAATCCAGTCATGATCCTCAATGAGTTACGGCCGGGCCTAAAGTATGACTTTGTGTCAGAGAGCGGGGAGAGCCATGCCAAGAACTTTGTAATGTCAGTGTCAGTCGATGCTCAGATTTTCCAGGGTTCTGGGCGGAACAAGAAGCTGGCCAAGGCCCGGGCTGCCCAGGCTGCTCTGTCTGCTCTGTTTAACATGCAGCTGGATCAGGCTCCGTCAAGTCAGCCTATACCCAGAGAAGGACTGCAGCTTCACCTGCCACAGGTAAGCATGGACGAAGGTAAATGACCCCATTACTTTCTTCCTTACTCTACCGTTTTCGTCTTGTGTTGTTCAAAGATAGGATCAAAGTAAGGAAGTACACCGACTTCTTAAAGAATGACACCAGCTACTTTGTTCTCTTTCTTTTCAATTGTTCTGTGCTACTCATAATTATTCTCTCTGCTCTGCATCCCTTGGGTGCTACAAGTTGAAAATATGCAACGTAAAGCCCATTATCTAATGACATAAGCAATTTTTTTAAAGTTTGGTTCCGGCATAATATGAATAGTAAACAGGGACTGATGAATGTTAGTGTAGTCAAACCCACATTATCAATCAATTTTATAAGAGCAGGCCAAGATATTGATTTCTGCGTTGTTTCTAGGGCCGGATGCGTTAGATTGCACATCAAATCATCTGCTAAGTCTGTAACTTCACCAGATGTTTGGCCATTAACCAGAACCAAGCAAACTGCCCATACACACAGGTCTCTATTCTTACTGTTGGACCAGAGTCATGTGATGGTGTGTGGTAATAATATGCCAATGATGCATAATACTAGAAGAAGAAAAAGTGCACTTGTAGCTTGTAGAAAGTCCTCTTTACTGATAGATGTTCTTTTGTTTTGTACCTGGATAACAATGTGTATATATATATATATATATATATATATATATATATATATATATGTGTGTGTGTGTGTATATATATATATACGTATATATACGTATATATACGTTTTTATATTGGCACAAACTCATTTCCTGATAGTCCTTTAACATTACAACACAACACAAAATTAAGTAGTAACAAAATATTGGAAGAGAAAGGTATGACAATAGTCACCTATGAAGATAAGCGTTTTGAGAGAGGTCATAGCCAGGAGTTGTCAGTGGCCTGTTTGATCGTATGCTGCAAAAACTTCCTCGTAATATCTGTGTCGTCTAAACGGAAAGCTCGTCTACTTTGTCACCGCTCACGGCCAACCTGACAAAGTCTGATTGAAGAGCTTCAGGAGAGACAAGTTCAATACACTAGGAATCTATTTACACGTGAACTAATCCCTGCCTGTAATCCCTGCACACTGATAACAAAGCTGCTATCTTAATTACCATCACCCTCTGAGTGCTATTCAAACACTGCTGTTCATTATACCAGCCTTTCCAAGTCGCTCTGCTTTACTTCCAGAGCAGTCAGTGAAGCGGAGGATGTGACTGTTTTAAGCTGCTCACAACCCTGACTGACATTCACACCCGTGCAGCATTCCTAATTGAAATATTCAATAATCGTTTCAGTGCAGATAAGAAGAGCTTTCACTTTATTTTTATCACACGTGGTCATTGTTCTTTCCTCATATTCGTATTACATACGAGAGTCAGTCGGCCCACATGTTCAACCTGCTTCATTTTGTTCAAAGACTTTATTTTCTGAAATCATTTTCACGTATTTGTTTGGGTTGCCATCTCAGGTCCTGGCAGACGCCGTCTCTCGCCTCGTCGTCGACAAGTTCAGCGAGCTGACGGACAACTTCACGTCTCCGCACTCCAGACGGAAAGTATTGGCAGGTGTCGTCATGACAACAGGTGATTGTTTTTTTTCCGTCAGTCAAACGGTTGCTTCTGAAAATGTTCAACTCTCATCCACCAAGATGTTACGAGCTCTGTGCTTGAAGCTGCAGCCCTGAATGTTAAGGGGGTTGGACAGACAGCTGAGTCACGTGATGAAGAGAGGTTTACTCCTGTTCTGCACTAAATGTTTCTCCACTCTCTTTGCATCAGCAGGGACCTGATTCAGCTGCATTACCTTACCTTGAGCTGTGAATGGGATGCATTTGTGTTTTATGTAAGATATTATAGCTAACACGACTCTGACCTCAGCTTTTGTTTCCCATTAAGTCAGTCTCCAGTTTCTCTAGTCTAAACCTCCGTCTAGAGTCCTTCACGGAAATGTGAAGAAAGGTTCTGTTCTTTGTTTGAGAGGCAAAGTTTTGCCACACTTCCTTGTTAGCTTCTGTCCAATTAGCATTTGGTTTCAGAGTAACATGCCTTAGTTGGTTCCTTTTGATTTCTCAAAAGAAAAATGTGAGCTATTGCGTATTCTGTCCATCTTCAAGTGGTTATCTACTGCTTTGCTGGATGGTACGTGATCATCAATGCTGATTTAGAATGGCTCCTATGAGTTGTAAGGGGGATTAATAACTGTCAAGGGGCAGGTCACGGATGTACTGGAGGACCTGGATACCGAACAGAAAGATAGCACACCTGGCACATAAGCCAAAACGTTTTTCTTTGTTTTCTTCTGCATTGTGTGGCCTTCTGCACATGCTCATTGGTTGTTCTTTGGGTTGATCTCTAATTTTTGGGTTTCTGCACAGCCGTTTGTGGATGATTACATCAGATCAATAACCCACTTTAGACTTCTATCCTCATGCTTTCTTGTACAGGTGCAGATGTGAAGGAAGCACAGGTCATTTGCGTGTCCACAGGAACAAAGTGCATCAATGGTGAATACATGAGTGATAGAGGTTTGGCCCTCAATGACTGCCATGCTGAGATTGTGGCTCGTCGCTCGCTCATCAGGTACCTGTACTCCCAGCTGGAGCATTTCCTCAGGTGAGAGCTGGTGTCTGAATCCTGTGGCCTATATTTCTACTACTCTACTATTTAGTAAAGACCTGGCTATTCTCCATGACAAGGGAGGATAACATTCATAGTGAACCTGTCAATTTAAACACCCAAATGTCAGAAATCCAATAAAATAAAGTCTTATCATGCAACACAGTTTTTTTTCTACTGCATGTCAAACACTGACCAAAGTTGAGTGAGTCCTTCTGACATACAGTTTAAAGGCTACCTGCCAGCCAATTTGGAAACTTTACGTAGCATTCTGTATGGTATAATGTCACTTGATTTCTCATTTGTGTCTCCAGTAACCACGAAGAGGAGCAGCTGACATCCGTCTTTACCAGGTGTGACAACAGACAAGGCTTCAGACTGAAGGAAAATGTCCAGTTCCACCTGTACATCAGCACCTCCCCCTGTGGAGACGCCCGTATCTTTTCTCCCCATGAAGCTGGAATGGAGGGTGAGCGGATGAAGAACAAGAGAAAGGCTGGACTTGTTTAGTATGGGAGCGTGTCGATGTTTCCAGGGTCCTATGATCCCTGATTCAATATTATGTAACACACATAAAGTAAACTCTGCAAAAGGTTTTGTCAGGGATTCAGTTTCCCAGTTTCTATGTTCATATCTATGCTCCTTTTAAAGAGTTCCCACAATGGCCCATGTCGTATAAAGGGAATAGAGCTGGGGAGCATCTTTTTCATGTTCCCATTATGTGCTATATAGAGCTGGGGAACCATGATCTTCTCCTGAACTTAACCAAATACAATTGTTGCCTAAACCTAAGTGATGCCAAGGGGTACCCAGTGCGTTCGTATGTGACGAGTTGGAAATGAGAACGGGTTGGGGTAACATAGGATCTTGGCAACAAAAGACCCTTTGAGAAAACATATGTAGAACTGGGGAACATAGGACCCTTTGTCGTGTTCCCATTATGTGCTATATAACTCTGGGGAACATAGGACCCTAGGAACTTAGGACCTTGGAGCATAGAACCTTGGGAATATATGACCATGGAAACTAAGGATCCTTGGAACATAGGACCCTGGGAAAATAGGACACTGGGAACATAGAACACTGGGGACATATACCATTAGGAACATTGCACCCTGGAAACATAGGGCATTGGGAACATATGACCCTGGGAACATAGAACACTGGGGACATAGAACACTGGGGACATATACCATTAGGAACATTGCACCCTGGAAACATAGGGCATTGGGAACATAGGACCCTGGGAACATAGAACAACTGGAATATAAGACATTGGGAATGTATTGGTAGAATAGGACCTTGTACAACTGGACAACTTAGGACCCTTGGTCATGGACCCTTTCTCATGCAATATAAACCTGGGGACATAGGCCCTTGGGAACATAGAAATGGTCCCTTCATGATATGCCCTGATGAAGATTTAAGACTTAAAAAACATGTGAGAGTTCCTCAGATTAGAAAGAAGATATCTCTTAAATATGAATATTTTGCATGAGAATGTATTGCTTACCATAAGATTCTTCAAGTGTCTGTAATTGTTTTTCTTCCTGTCTCAGACCACGGGGATAGACACCCGAACAGAAAAGCCCGTGGGCAGCTCCGCACTAAAATTGAGTCTGGTGAAGGAACCATCCCAGTACGCTCCACTAACACCATTCAGACATGGGACGGGGTTCTTCAGGGTGAGAGGCTGCTCACCATGTCCTGCAGTGACAAGATAGCCAGGTTTGTGTTGTTCTACTTCCTGTTCACACACACACAATGTCTGCGTACAGAAGTGAGAGCAGCGCGTTGGCAGAGCCGCCGCTTTAGTGCTCCATCAGCGTTGCCACAGGATACGTTCAGGCACAGTATTGAGTGTAGGTCACCTGTGTTTTGGTAGCGCTCAAAGCCAAAATTACAATCACTGTATTTATGCATGTGCAGTGAAAGAAAATAGACTCCATATTCTAAGACAAGTCAGCTCAACTACAGCAGTTGCTATCAGAAGTTTAGAGCTTTGTGATTTTGTGAAATTCAAATGTACCAGTGCACCAGCACGGATACATACGTTATCTTGTTTTCATACATACTAATTCTATTTAAAAGAAACGTTTTAAAACAGTACCTGTCATAGTACATACTGTAGTTTTCCTTGTCAAACTATTAAACACAGCCCTACAGACCCACTTGAGGTGTTTTTCAGCAGACCATTAGGAATCCTGATGATTATGTGCATGTGTAGAGAGGATGAATTGTCTCGACATCATGCTGCAATCACTCTATCTCTGTGTCTTCTGTCAGCTGCAGTTCTTAGGTGTCATTAGGCCACTGGAGCTTTGATTAGGCTGCTTGATGAATTGATGAATTCAATTGATGAATCTCCAGGAGGCCTCTAACAGCTCAGCACTCCTCTGAGCTGGAATGACATCTGTGTTTTCCTCAGATATAGCTGAAAGAGCCATGTTGATTTTTGCAGATTTGTATGTTTTCATTGTTTAACCACCTTCGAAGACGAGAGCTGACAAACTGAATGGCTATTTGCCTAAATGAGTAAATGTGTCCGTTCTGTCCCCCTTCAGGTGGAATGTAGTCGGATTCCAAGGCTCTCTGATGAGCTACTTCACTGAGGCCATCTACTTCTCCAGCATCATTCTGGGCAGCCTGTACCATGCTGACCACCTCTCCAGAGCCATGTACCAGAGGATTACCGAGATCGAGGACCTGCCACAGTCCTTCAGCTTGAACAAACCACTGCTCAGCGGTGAGAAACAGACTGCCCTTTCACTGCCCAGGACTGATTTCCACAGATTGGTTTTCCACACTGCATTTGTAGGTCCTTCGGAAGTCTGAAAAGCAGGGTTCTCACTGGTCAAGGGTTTTATGCAATCTCAGCGAAGTTTGAGGGTAGTAGTTTAGGCAGAGACAGTTGGATAAACTCCGAGGAAGTCAGACAATTCATAGTATTTTCCTTTTTTTAGCTTTTTTTGGTTGTGTTTTATGAAATGGATTTGGCCTTCCATTCTTGTTAATGTCCACTGTGAACTCAAACTCTGCCTACAGGAATAAGCAACGCAGAGGCTCGTCAGCCAGGAAAAGCACCCAACTTCAGTGTGAACTGGACGGTGGGAGACCCAGGCTTAGAGGTGATCAACGCCACCACCGGGAAAGACGATCTGAGTCGACCCTCCAGGCTCTGTAAACACGCTCTCTACAGCCGCTGGATGCGCCTGCACTGCAAGGTAACACTGCATACTGTACTGGTCTTCAATGCAGAGTAAAGCTACAGTCCTCGTATAGGGAGGAGGTCGGAGTGGGTGGATGGGTCCAACAAACACAGGACTTTCACTCAGTAGATGGCTCTTTGTGTCGAGGACGAACGAGTACTTACTTTTGTTCCTTCATTTACGTACCTTACTAACGCCACATATGTAAGTTCATTTTAAAACTCATTTTAACCCAAACCACATCTTTTCCTGAACATAACCAAGTAGTTTTGTTGCCTGAACTTCAGGTTCTTCTGTTTTCAATTAAAAAAACCTCTCCAGATCTGTAATAACTGACACTATTGCATCTATCTACAAGCCGTCATTGTTGTTAGAATGAACAGTCGCACACACAAACCTATCACAAGAAAATTCTTCTTCTCAATATGAAAAAGAAATGAAGGCCACTGGAAACAAAGCCTCTTCAGTACTGATAAGAAGACTATGATTACTACTACTACTATAACTGTTGCTCTGTCATTAGCTTAGCTGTGGTTTAAGGTTTAAGCCCGGTATCACATAGTTTCATCAGGTTCCCTGATGCCATCAGAATCCTGAACGCTGGTGAAGACAACTAGTTAGGCAAAAGTTGGTACTGAAATTATACTGTACTGCAAGTCTTATTGAAATAAGAATAGTTTGGCCGAGCATCCTCTCTGAAGGCACTCTGTACTTTTACAGCTAAGACAATTTTGTTGTGTAATTTCTGTCCATGACCCGTAGCTGTCCTCCACCCTGCGGATCAAAACAGTGAGGCCCAGCAGCTACCACGATGCCAAGCAGGCAGCGGTGGAGTACCACGGCGCCAAGCAGGCGCTCTTCAGAGCCTTCCACAAAGCAGCACTGGGCGCCTGGGTGAAGAAACCTATAGAGCAGGACCAGTTTGCACCCACCACCTGAGCTAGTGCAATGGGTCTTTGACACAAAACATGTCTGCTCGCTTTATTTTCTGGGTCAGTTTCCCTGGTGGAATAATTTCCCTCTGGATTGCCATGGACTGGACTGTGTTTCACTGGGAGGGAAGAGGCACCACATCCAGATGTCAGAATCCATGGATTTAACATTCCACCTTCATCTTTCTAGCCTCGTGCTACTTCCTCTCAGCCAGCACTACACATTCAAAAAGATTATTATTCAGTCAGTTATGCAACTTTATACAAAAGGACAAATGTAAAAAGAGACTTTGGGAATGGAAACTTGTAAACAGCATTGTTAGTTTTAATGGCACTTGTTTATATAAGAATAGTGATGTGTTCATTTTGCATGTGTGTTTATACCAAATTCATAGGAAGTCTCCAGTAAAAGGTTTGTTATCAAGTATCAGTGTTGTAATAATTTCAGAATGTCCACTTGCAGTTTGTGAAAGTGTTCTCTCTGCTTTGTTGCAGTTGTTTGAGGTCACAAAGATGTTTTCTTTGCTAAGGATATGCGCACTGAGATGACTTTAGAATGACTTTAGAAGATAGTCATCCACAGCGCCACCCTCCCTTTCAAACACAGCTTTACTCTGATGTGTTTTCTGTACGTGGTGCAGTCTAAATTAAATGGACTCACAATGCTGCCACATTAGGTCGGCATGTATGGTGGATTATACTGTAAATGTGTCGGTCCAGACTGTAAATAACATAGGTGGAGTGTCTATGGTGTCAAACTCAACTTTCTGAAGAGATGTTTTAAATGCTGCGCTGCTCACTCACCAGAAAATCCAAATTTGGTCAAAGGTGAGGAAGCCTGGGTGCACCTGATGAGAGGCAAGCGACAACCACAATTACTGACTGTGATAGGCTGACACATCTGTCAATCAAAGAAATACAACCAAAAACATTGTTCTGTTAAAGCTAGGCCTTTGTCCTTCTGCATACTTGTCTTCTCGTTTCCCCCCTAACAAACAAGCTTACTGTATCAATATCAATATGATATATGATATATCAATACACTGAGATATATATATATATATATATTGGTGTTATTTCTTCATTTAAATGTTACTTGTTCTGTTACAGTGACAGTAATGATCTTTCTTGATGTCACCATTAAGATGGTTCAAAGTGAGATTAGCCCCATGTATGACCGTTCCTAATTCAGACATACGGCCTCCTTCTTTTCCACAATACAGGCAAAACATAGAATGTTTATTTTTGTATGAAAATATGAAATATCGGAGAGAAACATCAATATACTTGTATACCGATATAAGTGGTACTACATATTGTTATTTTACTTTACATTGTAGAAATTGAGTAAGGTCATTTAAGCTTCCTTCTTTGTTAAGGAAACAGAGTCACACCAATGAAATGTTGTTTCCCGATGGTTACGGGAGTCTTTAGGATTCTGCAAATATACTCCTTGAGAACAGCGGTGATTGTTGTTCATGACTGAATCGTTCAGCCATTCTGGTTTGTCCACTTGATGCTTTTCAAAGAATTAGCTGACTGTCAGAATCGGTCTCCTCATACCCTTTAATCCTTGTAGTTTGGGGTCATTTGCTCTAGTTGGATGACACCAAACAGGAGTGACACATTTGAGTAGGAATAGCCTGGTTCACACAGGAAACACTCCAGAGGTTAAACACACATGTTGGGTGTGAACATCTCTCCTAATATGAGCCCTGTTGCACTAGATCACGGTCACAACCTTATGCAACGAAACTCCACAAACATTTCAGTCTGTGAATCTCTCGTCCAGTGATAGTCCCTATGCAGTAACTACAGTAAACCCAGCTAGTGTTGTTGCTGTTAACACTTCAGTCGCTATTACCACCAGTAAAAGCTCACCAAAGATGATGTCAGCATCTGTCAAATCTTTGACAGTTTTTTTTTATGTTCCGTGTTGTTTTCCACACATTCAGATGTTTTATATGACTGTATTCTGCCTCTACTACTCGTGATGATGTGTGAAGTGATGTTTTATGTGTGATGTTCTACTCTTTCAAAAACCAAACAACACCTTTTTCCTCTAAAAAAAAAAAAGAATCAATATTTCATGTCCTGATCGAGCTTGTATTTAGGGCTGGGTTTTAAGTTGACTTGTTGTCTGTAACTTTTAACTTTCAAATGATTTTCTAATTCTTTATTTGCTGTAAAAGTGCTCAGGATGTAAACCTCCAGCCTCAAATACACACAGGGCATCTTTAACTTATTTACTTTGAATATAGGTTGATTTCCTTTCTTGTATATTTTGAATGTGTATCCTTTCTGCTTCTATTTACTTGCTGAAAATGCGTCTTAACTTTGAGCATGTGCAGACCTGTTCCTGTCTCAGCTATCCTGGCTCCAGACTTGGGCCCTCAGGGTTTTTGGAGGTGCCGCCAATTACGTTTCCATTGTATATGCACTTTTTAAAAAGGGAAAGGATTACTTTTTCCATAGACTTTGAGGTAAAGCAAAAGTAAATGGATGAATGGTAACATATGGTCCACTGTATTTTGTTCCTATACCTTTCCATATGTTGGTGCTTGGTGAGCCTCCACAATTCTTATGGGTTCATGCATTATGTTATTGATTTCCCCCATAAAATATAGCAAGACTGCGGGGCCTAATGCATGAGCTCTACCTGTAAAGCATGAACACTATGAATATAAAATATGTAGAAACTGAGTCAAGTCACTGAGCTAGAGATTCAATAAAATGCTGTTACGGTCATTTTGTACGGTGTCTTTGCTTTTAAAGGATTATGGCTGTGGTGCTTTGGAATAAATATTAAAGAAAGACTCTTCAGGAATTATTATTCCTGAGGAATAATAATTTCAATCTTAGTAATTACATTACATTACAGCTAAGAATCAAAGTATCTACTACCGTATTCATACATAATGACGGTGCATAATCACACAGGGAGACAAGCGACGATCATTAGCATTTAGCACAGTTAGCCATTTAACTGCAAGCATCTCGTTATTTAAATGAATCATTGTCTTTAACTCTACAACACTCTACTTACACTTATTGTGGGTTTTGTGTTCATTATCAGCTGTTGCCCTCCTGTCTGTCTGCCACTCATCTACAGGTGACAGATTTCCTCTGACAATAACAGTTTGTTATAACCTATAACAAAAGCAAATTAAAATGCCATGTTCTTCTCACTACAATCTTTAGTTTTCGTCATCATTTGTGTGATCTTGGCCACTGGAACATTTCTTTATTTGCAGCTATCAGTTGTAATTCCGAAAGCCTAAACCTCCAAAGCCTGTCATGGACTAACAGGGCTTCACTCTCCTTGCAGAATATCAACAGAAAGGCTGTCTTTGACAGCTGTTTCAGGCTGACGGACTCAAGGGGTTCAAAGGGGTCACGCTGCAGAGCCTTCAGGACCAACTCCAGGTCCTAAGGCAGAGCTGCAGGGGGGGGAAAAGGACAGCTTGTGCACAAGTCTGCAAAGGCGAGGGAAGGCAAGGCTTCCCTGCCTGTTGATGTAAGCTAATGCAATTGTGCTGTCCGTCCTTCGCAGGATCACCTGGTGGCTACCCTGCTCTTCTGTCCAGGCACGTACTAGCCAATCATCAGGAGCATTTTGAATTCTGAGTCCATCATGCTGCAGGGACTAAGCATGCACCCAGTGAAGGTGCGACGGGCAAGCAAGATCCCGTAGGCCGTAGGGGATAACACAGAATTCAAAGATCTTAGAAACAGCCTGTGGCCCTCCCAGATGGGAATCTGAAAGGTACCCCTGAGGTCTATGGTGGCAAACTAATCTCCTGCCTGGATCACCGGCCTCACCCTGGGAATTGTTAACGTTTTGAATTTCAGGGGCTGGAGAAACCTGAAGGCTCAGTAGGTTCAGTCTCCCATCCTTGTTGAGGATGAGAAAATAGCCCGCTGATACCCTGGCTCTACCTTCCTGACTGCTGTTGCTGATCTTGCCAGCGACAGCAACAGCGACAGATCTTGGGGGGGTCTGAGCAGAATGAAGCCGGTGACCCTGAGTTCACACAGGGGTGCATGCCCAGGGCTGCCCAGACCAAGCGAGGGGCTGAGGAGATGCGGTAGTTCTTGCTGATATCACGAGGAAGGCGGCGGCTTCAAGGATCCTCGGTCCCACGCCCTTCCCTCACGCCAGCCTGCCTAGAGTCTTCCAAAGAGGACCTCAGATTCTCAGGGTGTTGCAGAGGACATTCAGCCTAAGCCGTTGATGACCTAGGCCCATCCCAGTGGTGGCCAAAGGTACACCTCCCGAGCACAACGGTGGGTCTCCTGAGGTTGTCACAGCAAGGCACTGGCCTGGCACAGGCCAATCATATCTGATGGCTCCACAAGCAGCATCATTAGACAGCCTGGATTGAGACAACCATAAGTGGCGCCACACCAACCAGAGGGCCACAGCCTTGCCAAGGATTCTTCACCCGTGTTAAACCAACCTGGCAAGGCTGTGGCTTCACTGCAGTGGGTGTATGTATATATGCTAATGTTACCCACTCTGGTATATTTTAACAAGCGTAACTTTGACACTAAGACATTATGACAATACAAAAAAAGTATTCAGAACCTTTGTTTAGGTAGAATTTGCTCTACAACTGGGTGAAAATACTCCATTACAAGTAACAATGCAATGCACTGATCATTTTGTTCTCAAATCTTAATCTGTAAAGTAATTAGTAGCCTAATTACAGCTGTCAGATAAATATAAAGGAGCAGAAAGTACAATAGGCTACTTCCCTCTGAAATGTAGTGTAGAATAAGTACATAGGATATCGTTATCACAAACAAGCTGGTTGGTTGCTCTCCATAGCAGTCAGCAGCTTCTCACACAGGTGAAGTGATAGGTGTCAGCTGGTTCAAACCGGTTGGTGAAAGCCCCCCTGAAGAAGTGTTGTAAGATTACATCAGGTAGTCATAGATCCTTCCACCCAACCCTGGCTCCTAAATGTCATCGTCTTTCAAACCCCCATAATGACATCATCATTGCTATTTATTTATTTATTTGCACACTGCGCAACATCATTCAGCTACTTGTCAGATCCATATGATGCACACACAGCAAATATTCCATAACACAAACCTAATAGGACAGATTGATGACTATAAAAGCAAAAACATATTAGGTGTAATGTCAAAATGAGGGCGTGACTGCTGCACTGCTGTTGTTGTTGACACAATGCCAGGTAGCTGCTCTGTATCTGCGTCTATCTAAAGCTGTTCTGACCGCCATCTCCACATGGGCTGTTAGAGGCCTATTACTTTGTCATATCAGCCACTGGCACCTGTGCAACATGAGAGAGCCACATAATCTCACTGTGGATTACCTGTCCTGCATCACCAGGGAGCAGTCAGACCCCCTGCAAAAAGACAGACCTTTCAGTGAAGACAGTTGTTTATTTCTTCAAGAACCACTGGCTGCATTCCCCTTACTAGTCCACACACAAGAGCACGGTTTAAAAGTTCTTGGCCATGGGATTTTAGCTGATAGAGTCTGGCTAAAAATGAGAGAATAGAGAAGTCAAACAGCTTCAAGGTGAAGTGGGATTAGTGAACACAGCTCTTCATACCTCTCCACCTCGCATCATTTATCTGCCAATTATGCTCCCAGGCTAAGCCTCTGACAGGGGCTACATAAAACGGACGTTGTCCTCGAAAAGTTGCAATACTTGAATTTGTCATTTCTTAGCAATTTTATATCATCACACCTATGCGTCACTTCTGTCTCTTCTCCTCTCACATGATGTTTCTTAGTGCATATGTAAAACCAGGTTCAAACAAACGAGCAATAGTAATTCAGGCAGACATAAATGATGAGAAATATGTGCCACGGCTGTGGCGTTGGCACATATTTAGTCTGCTTTTGCCCCAGGCTCTGCTGAAGGGGGAAACAGCTTAGAGGAATCACTAGTGTGCCTACGTGATATTCACCTTAAATCATGTGGGCTCCAGTAACTATCAATATGTCCAAACACACTCTCCATTTCTCCTGCTCATGTTTTTGCCAAAATACGGTTTATTCATCTGCGTCTTTTGCAGTTGCTCATGCATGACCCCATCAAGCAGGTCAATTCAATGTGGAGGTTTTTAGGTTTTGTAACCATGGTGACAGCAACGCCTGCTGATGCATCAGCCAGTCGCTGCCATTAACTTGACTACATTTTGTTTTAATTTGTTTCCTTTTCGCCTTTATTTCCAAAGCAGGAATACACTCATCAGCCTTACCGCAGGGATTGGGTTAACTGCAGCGGACTATGAGAGATCACTACCCCACACCATCAAACTCAAGATCCCGACTAGTGATGAGAACGCTGGTTCTTTTAAGTTACCCAATTTGTATCGTTTGCGATTTCAGTGTGAATGGGCTAACGTTGTTTGGCTCAGTGGGTGTGCTTTGTGCAACTGGGTTAGCCCGCTGAGCAGAGGCTTTCACTCGTTCTCCATTCAGCTCAGTGTGCAAAGGAAAAACTGCTCTTTAACAGATGACAAACCTTGAGCAGAGACGGGCTCAGAGTGGGCGGCCATCTGCCTCGACTGCTTAGACAGAGGCAGCAACAAAAATATGACCACAATCAGTGTATGAATGGGTGAATGATGGCATGTAGTGTGAAAGCGCTTTGAGTGGTCTAGAAAAGCGCTGGACAAGTACAAGTTTACAATTTGCCATTTACCACAGATCCCCTCGCATTTGCCGTGCACATTTCCTCGTGTGCACTGCGACCAGCTCGGCTTGGAAAGGCTCGCGGGGAAGATGATTAGCGGCCATGAGCATAGCAGCACCCCCGGACCTCGCTGCTTCCTGGGGCTGTGGACTTAGTACTATTGCACCCTCTCGCCCTGCGGGCACCAGATTTATGCATTTCATTTAAAATACAACATTTCCTTTTAGATTCACCCACAATCGCCTCAGAGAATCCTGAAGCCAAGAAAATGGTCAAATAAGATTTTGTGTTGCTGTGGTCGTATAAATGTTATTTAGCCATTGAGCTGTGACCGCAACGAAAGTATAGTTTTTGAAAGGCTAAATTCCAAATATGGATTAAAGCTAAACAATAAACATCTTGTGAAATTTGGAAATGATTATGTCTGTCTTCAACCTCTTCCTGACAGCTCCCTCACTGGTCTGCTGTGGCTCACAGGCAGGCTAAAAGCATGTTATGTTTGCCATATAAAAGTTTCAAAAGTGTCATTGTATCAAGTAATAAATATGTCATAAACGTGTCATAGTATAGTATGTGAGGAAAATGTCATAACAAATGACATAGTATCATATGTCACACAAATGTCATTGTAAAATATGTCCTAAAGACGTCACCGTATGGTTAAAAATAAGTCAATATGTCATAAAACCTGCCATAAGAAGGTCATAGTATAGTTTGCCAAAAAATCATTATGCATACTACAAGATGATATTTTTAAAGAAGTAACAGAAAATCTGAGAATAATATGTCAAATAAATAGCAGATAAAAATGTCATAGATAAGTATGCCATAGGAAAAAAGTTATAGTATAGTATGCTTATGAAATGTCATAAAAAGTCAGCACAAATCATATTATAGTATGTCATTAAAATATCATGGTAAAGTATGCCATATCGTTAAAAATATCCTAGAATATTATGTAATAAAAAAGTCATAAAAATCTCATTGTAGTTATTTTTTTAATTATATCCATAAATTTACCCCAAATACGTATTGAAACATTTTCTGATTCATTTTTCAAAACACAAT